TTTGTGTAGGGGGCTCAGTTTAACTTGAGCCCTTCTCCCCTCCCCCCAGAACACTAACCCCCTTCAAATCAACTAATATCACATGCTCAATTTTATACTTTTTTTGTAACTGATAATGATGTACATGAATCCCACTGTAGGCCTAGACTAGTTAATAATAAACAAATAATTATGGTATACTGTTCCTTGGTTTCATTTCACCTGATGATGATAATGTAAATTGTTGAAACGTTGTGTACAATAAAACCCAGGAGTAGTATACCATATAAACTGATGATGACAATGTAAATTGTTGAAACATTGTGTACAATAAAACCCAGGAGTAGTATACTATATAAACTGATGATGACAATGTAAATTGTTGAAACGTCGGGTACAATAAACCCAGGAGTAGTATACCATATAAACTGATGATGACAATGTAAATTGTTGAAACGTCGGGTACAATAAACCCAGGAGTAGTATACCATATAAACTGATGATGACAATGTAAATTGTTGAAACGTCAGGTACAATAAACCCAGGAGTAGTATACTATATAAACTGATGATGACAATGTAAATTGTTGAAACAGCNGTGTACAATAAAACCCAGGAGTAGTATACCATATAAACTGATGATGACAATGTAAATTGTTGAAACGTTGTGTACAAATAAACCGAGGAGTAGTATACCATATAAACTGATGATGACAATGTAAATTGTTGAAACGTTGTATACAAATAAACCGAGGAGCAGTATACCATATAAACTGATGATGACAATGTAAATTGTTGAAACGTTGTATACAAATAAACCGAGGAGCAGTATACCATATAAACTAATGATGACAATGTAAATTGTTGAAACGTCGGGTACAATAAACCGAGGAGCAGTATAGTATAAAATTGTGTTCTATTATTTAATTTGATCTCTACCTCTAAATGTTGTTTAAGGATTATTGTAAACTAGCTTAACACACTAACCCCTTTCAATTCAACCAATATCACAACCTTTATTTTTGGAAAACTGTTTATATTATTGTATATAAAAATGATGTAAGTAATCCTGTGTACACTAGCTTAAACCTTACTACAAAAATTTCTTATCTTATCTATCATCACTGATAATCCAGAGATCATTAATTCCATGCCATTAAAAACTAATGTAAGGTAAAGATTAATGTCATTGTACGAGGTCAAGTCTGGATTGTCCCCCCTGAGACCCGTTATTTTGACGTAACTACTGATTTAATCATTGAAATTACCAGATAATCTTAAATTGTCTCCCCTTTGATATAATCATAGCATACAAATAGCTAGTTTATCTTGGATATATATCATAGGGGCTTGAGGCAACGATTTAGATTTATATCACAGGGCCTTGAATCAGCAGCTCCAAAGGACCCTGAGTCAATAATGATCATAGAAAAATGATCCTGCAGAAAATTTATTTCGTAAGACAGACTCCTAGATAGAACCCTAGACAGAACCCTAAACAGACCAATAAATATCAAGGCATTCTTTGTGATTGGAAATCCCCCAATATATCTATAAGAATAGTGAAATATCAACAATACCACATTTAATAATTGATTTGGACTAATACAGAGTACAAGATATGGCACTATTCTTAAAGGGACAATAAGCTATTCCAATAAAGTCTAGAATATCACAGCTGGGACTGTTTAAACTGCCATATTTTACAAATGAGGGAGTGAGACATGTTTCTAACGTTAATTAATCGAGTAAATACCATTTACACCTCGTCAATAATTTATTCGCGATGCCACGGTAACATATTTGTCTTAATCAACACCATCATTGAGGAATTAAAACTGCAACGAAATTTCCCACAAATCCCCAGTTGATGGACTAATCGCTATAAAGTATCGAGGATTTAATCTAAGTTCTGTTTGCATGTGTTTGAATATCTAAGGAGAAAATCCAGCGTTTAGTACCAGCGTAGGTTAATTATTCTGTTCCTTCTTTTCAATCAAATTAGCAAAATTATTCTCCTGGGACATTACCGCTTCTCTGAAGAGTTCCATAAAGAGGTAGTAAGAGTCTAATCAAGCGTCGATAACTTCGTTCCGTTATTAAATTGAACGTAACTGCTTTTTTACTGTTTATATTCGGTAACCGTTTTCAAAATTCAAGTATCAAATTGAATCAGCCATCTTAATTGAATTAAGAATGATTTGTAATGGCGTTTTGATTAAATAAGGACATATCTTGAAACGTTTAAGATTACTGCCAGTACCCCTGACAGTGGCTAACTTGATTGTTCTGTTTTGATACAGTCTACTAGCTCAAATACACAGTCAATTTGTCTGTTCTATTTTCTTAACAAATATTATTGAGAATGCCAATGATGATTAAATAATTTTTAAACCTAACATGGTTCATGTTTATTTTTCTATGAATTTATGAATAGTTTTGATAGGTATATATCAGTTTTCTCCTTGTGATTTGAATAATAGTTTTGATAGGTATATATCAGTTTTCTCCCTGTGATTTGAATAATAGTTTTGATAGGTATATGATTTGAATAATAGTTTTGATAGTTATATGATTTGAATAATAGTAATGATAGGTATATGATTTGAATAATAGTTTTGATAGTTATATGATTTGAATAATAGTTTTGATAGGTATATGATTTGAATAATAGTAATGATAGGTATATGATTTGAATAATAGTAATGATAGGTATATGTCCTCTTCATAATAGTAATGAACATCAAACAAGTTATTATTTAAGTTTGATAGTTATTTTATCAGTAGATAAAGAGATAAAGAGAAAGTGTGAAACACGTTGAATTTTAATAGAGTTTTAGAAACATTGCGGTGCCTGAGTCTAATAGTTTTATAATGAAAATTGACAAGTCATTCAGGTCTCCAGGGATTAGACAATATTACCATCTCTCCGCGGACTCGAACGTCTTTTAATATTCACACTCTCTATGTTATATTTCATTATCAATTTGACAGCGTTAATACACGGCCCTCAAAATAAATTCCTATTAATATCAAACATTAGAAAACAGTCTTTTCAGCGAATTGAATATAAAGATAGCTATTTGCAATATGGATTTATTGAAAGGGATTTGATGAAATTAAATAACAAATGAACATTATCAGCGATGTGGACTCTCTGAAAGTGACCCAGAATGAGGCGGTAATGAGGACAATTGTAATTTCATCATAATTATCCATCATGAAAAAGATTGCAGGGACAACCTAGTAGAAAATCGCAAAGTAGTAAAGATTTATAAGGGTGGGAAGGGGGTAATGCTATTGATCTATGGTTCTGAAGTGGGTATTAGAAAGTTAATTATTGAAAAGCCATGCTTTAAGGGATCCAGACTTGACAAACCTACATGCAGAGTGGTATCAAAGATTATATGTGCTAATTTCAGTCGGCTCAGTGTTCAAATGTCCATTTCCAATTTTCTTTTGTAAAAATTTGTGTTAATATGTTAACCACAAAAACTTTATTACAAATTGATAAAACAAATAAAAAGTTGGTTATTTTCACAATCATCTGTAAAAAATAACAGTGTTACCAACAAGAGCAATATTTCATTGAAGTGCTAATTATACCCTGTACAAATAGTTAGGTAAACTTTGTTGTAAGTTTGAAAAGATTTTTACCAAGAAAATGACTGGGTTTATAGAGAAACATAGCAATTATCACTTTACGAAAACCACTTTCTTTAGTCGGGACTCCTTGTGGAAATATCGTGAATCCAATAAAATTATTATATTTAAACATTACAGAGAAATTGGTTACTCATAATCGTTTCGTTTCCTCTCCAAATACGAAAAATCAATTCAGGAACGAAACTTACACGATTCTGAAAAGCCATAAAGGAACGGCTTGTTACGAGACGAAGGGAGAATTTATAAACAATTGAGGTTTAAAGAGGACAATTCATCTAATTGGATTTCCCGAGTAAATATTAGACAATCATTCACATGTTCGTATGAATCTTATCAAGAAGAGAGACTCGTTGAATTGTCATGCGTCTCTCGAAGCGTTTACTACCAATAAATTAGTCATTATAAAGAACAACCAGTCTCACGAGAGTTTTATTCTCGCTGTAAAAAAAGGGGGAGATAATTAATAGTTATATTGGTGTGTCAATATCGTAAACGTTTCATGGGAAAAAAACACGGCAGTCTTTTCAACTGTTACTTTATTATTGTCTTCATGTTTATTCAAACTTAATAATAAACTTCTCAAGGCGAAGTTACATGAAAAAAACTGAAAGGGATAATACATCTTTATCTGAAATAACATTATCATGTAGACTCCTTGAAACTATTGCCTATTTCTGCCATGTTTCATTTTAGCAAGTGAATCTTGTATTTTGGACTAAGATAAGAAATAATCATGTCACATGATTTTCAAATCAGCCAATCAACACGTTTGTCTGTGGCCACTTTTTATGTTTTGTTTTGTAAATATGATCACACAAGCAAAAAATTTAAATTGAGTATAGAATTTAATTGGTTTTAATTCATCATTTCAGACGAAGATATTTGGATTAAGTGAACCACAGTTCTATCTATCTTTTGATAAGGAGTCATGGTTTTAAGAACAAGAAGGAGGAGTAAAACAAATTTTACCTCGAGGCCGGGGCGCATCTAGAAAACGCCTGAGGAGGAAGCCAAAAATGAGGTGTCTGTCTGAGGTGGAAACCCCTTTAGGCCGGGGCACTACTGGAGGTCCCTAGAATCAAATGGATTTCAGATGGCATGAGATGGAAGTTTGGGCTTAATTTTCTCTTCAAAATAAGACCTTAAACAGGCGTTAGGGAAGGGACATGGCCCAATGAACCCCTCCCTCCCCCACCCTCCAAAAATACGCGACTGTCTCCAAGGAAAGTACAGAACAGATGGACAAAAGAGTAAAATATGGAACCATACAATATCAATGAACATCAAGATAAGATCCTGAGTACCCACTAATAATAGTAGGACTGACGGGCTGAGGGGGATATTATCAATTCTTACCTTATATTCTCCAAGGTAGTCTACAGAACAAGGTAAAACTGCCGTCTGCCCAGAGATTATCGTGACATTTCTCGTTACTACGTTAAACCGAGGCTCTAATCCAAACACTGAAAATAAAAAACAATATTATCTTTAAATGCTATGTACTGTAACTAAAAGATCTGTAATTATGCATTAAAACCAAAAATTAAAAACCCTTTCTGTTAAGAAGATGAAAATCTCACTAAGGGAGACTACTGCTATTACAAAAACAGAAGTCAATCAAACATACAATATAGGGCCAACCTGAAATAATTTGGGTTGATCTTTAATATATGTTCAACTAATCAGCACAGGAAGACAAATTGCAAAAATGAAAAAAATGTTATGCCATAGATATCCCTGGCACATGTCTTAAACCAAAGTACTCCTTCTACACCTTCCCTACCCTAGGGGGTTTATCTCCCCATCAAAACATCTCACCCTTTCTTCACAATGCCTGAAAGTGTATTATTTTGGGGGTGATACAACACCTCCCCCACCCACAAACCCTCTTAATCTTTGACATCTATGATGCTCTCAATGCCATTTTAAGATCAAATTTCAAATGGTGCACATTGCCATCCTCCATCTTGGAAGGGAGAAAACATAGAAAATGACACGGAAGAAAGTAAGTTAATGATGGATTAGGCTGTAATTGGAGTAGAATTATTAATTGTATTTTTCCGTTGAAGTAAATTGTCACTTATTTAATCATAAAAACCAACACATGAAATATAATTAACTGGCTAATACATCATCACATTTTTATCTTTTTAAAGCTACATAAAACTTAGGTCAAATCCAAATAGAGTTTTACATCCTACTGTTCTGTATTTTATTAGACCTAATGAAATGAAATGGAGTTTTATATTCTACTGTTCTGCACCTTATTGAACTAATGAAATGAAATAGAGTTTTATATCCTACTGTTCTGTATTTTATTGGACTAATGAAATGAAATAGAGTTTTACATCCTACTGTTCTGTATCTTATTAGACCTAATGAAATGAAATGGAGTTTTATATTCTACTGTTCTGCACCTTATTGAACTAATGAAATGAAATAGAGTTTTATATCCTACTGTTCTGTATTTTATTGAGCTAATGAAATGAAATAGAGTTTTATATCCTACTGTTCCGTATCTTATTGGACTAATGAAATGAAATGGAGTTTTATATCCTACTGTTCTGTATTTTATTGGACTAATGAAATGGAGTTTTATATCCTACTGTTCTGTATCTTATTAAACTAATGAAATGAAATGCAGTTTTATAACCTACTGTTCTGTATCTTATTGAACTAATGAAATGAAATAGAGTTTTATATCCTACTGTTCTGAACCTTATTGGATAAATGAAATGAAATGTAGTTTTATATCCTACTGTTCTGTACCTTATTGGATAAATGAAATGAAATGTAGTTTTATATCCTACTGTTCTGTACCTTATTGGATAAATGAAATGAAATGGAGTTTTATATCCTACTCTTCTGTATGTTATTGGACTAATGAAATGAAATGTAGTTTTATATCCTACTGTTCTGTATCTTATTGGACTAATGAAATGGAGATTTATATCCTACTGTTCTGTATCTTATTAAACTAATGAAATGAAATGCAGTTTTATAACCTACTGTTCTGTATCTTATTGGACTAATGAAATGAAATAGAGTTTTATATACTACTGTTCTGTACCTTATTGGATAAATGAAATGAAATAGAGTTTTATATCCTACTGTTCTGTATCTTATTGAACTAATGAAATGAAATAGAGTTTTATATCCTACTGTTCTGTACCTTATTGGATAAATGAAATGAAATAGAGTTTTATATCCTACTGTTCTGTATCTTATTGGACTAATGAAATGAAATGCAGTTTTATAACCTACTGTTCTGTATCTTATTGGACTAATGAAATGAAATAGAGTTATATATCCTACTGTTCTGTATCTTATTGGACTAATGAAATAGAGTTATATATCCTACTGTTCTGTATCTTATTGGACTAATGAAATGAAATAGAGCTTTATATCCTACTGTTCTGTATCTTATTGGACTAATGAAATGAAATAGAGTTATATATCCTACTGTTCTGTATCTTATTGGACTAATGAAATGAAATGGAGTTTTATATCCTACTGTTCTGTATCTTATTGAACTAATGAAATGGAATAGAGTTTTATATCCTACTGTTCTGTATCTTATTGGACTAATGAAATGTAGTTTTATATTGTATCTTATTGAGCTAATGAAATGAAATAGAGTTATATATCCTACTGTTCTGTATCGTATTGGACTAATGAAATGAAATAGAGTTTTATATCCTACTGTTCTGTATCTTATTGGACTAATGAAATGAAATAGAGTTTTACGAAATAATCATCACTTTTAAGCAAATCAAGTTGCATATCACAGACATTTGAAACTTATATTTACACAACTTCAATTTTCAACATCTTTATAATCCCTTTAAACATTGGACGTTAATCGATTATCTAGAATCAAGTTTCCGTCCTGTCATCGTGTCCCGTGGGGTGTCTCAACTTACTGTTATAAACATTAGTGTACACTTGAAAAAATAATATCATTAATCGAAAAACTCGTTCTAGACAGTTACTGATTGAACACGAGCAAATAAACTCAAAAATCAAATAAATAAATTTAGCTTTATGGATAGACTTGAATAGTTCCGAGCCCTCTCACGGGACTTCACTGCTAAAATTCAATTTTTGCCATAATTTGGTTGGTTTTTGTCTACTACGCAAAAAATAGGGTGTAGGCATTCTAGAGGCTCATTTAAGGGCTTAGTTACGGTATATGTTAGGTGCCAGCCGTGTGAGGGGCCAGCCCTGTGAGCCAAGCTGGCTAGTTAAACCTGGCTAGGTCTTCAATTCCAGAAAGTTGTTGTTAATTTTGTTGTGTTAGCTTGTAAAAGTATGATTCACACATGCACTGCGGCTGATAGTCAGGATATTTGGTCTACAGACTGGTCTGAAGCATATATACAAGGTCCTAAGATTTTTCTTGTTTGTAAGTAGGATCTCAAAGAGATATAGAACTGAAATTCAAAATACAATGTAAAATTCCATTTGACTTTAGAAAATCTTTAACACAAAATGAAAAATTTGTTCAAGTACAGCATTCCTGCTATGTTAAGAACCAAAGTGAACTAAAGACACACTGATAATAGATTAAAATGGAAGTTAATTTCGACGTTTCTCTAATTACCAGGAGACAATAGACAATTAGTCCTACTTAAACACAAACTAACGACAATTTCAACCATTCTGTACTGAGTTGGTTTGAAAAAATTCTTGACCAAACCCGGAATTTGACTGCCAATCCTCAGAATTAAAAGAATTGGAAAGATGTTTTCTAAATTTGTATATGTATCGCAGACACCATATTTTTTATGTGTATCTGCGACACTGTTAGCATCAATTTACACCATGCAAATTTTCAGTCAGATGTCTGTGGTTCCTGTAATGCCAAAAAATTATTTTTTGCGAAATCACGTAAGGCCCTTCACTATTAGTGACGTTATCAAACACTTAGTTTTATTGAAATTAAAGGAACCACAGACGTCTGACTGAAAATTGGAATGGTGCAAATTGATGCTATGACTGTCCCCAATACACATAAAAAATTTAGAAAACTTCTTTACAATCCCTTTAAGAAGTCAATGAAAAGAACTTCCTACAATAGGAATATCTAATATCATTTATCAATATATTTCAAAATATGAACCCTGGACCTTCACGTTAGCAAGAAATCGTGTAATTCACTGAGTCACTGCAGCATGTTCACCTTTTCATCTTTAAAGAAAGCATTTGTCTCTGGGAAGATTAAATATTTTTAGATGATCTGAGTATTAAAAACACATGATGTAGACAATGAAAGAGTTCCATTATGCAAATGTCGCCAAAACTTGACACGGGCAAGCAACAGAAATCTTTTGTACCCAATCCCATGTCTCCATGACGATTAAATCCATAATCAGACTTGATGCCGTGTGTCTGGACACCCTGTAGTCTGAATCCGAATATCAATTCCCAAATTAAAACTTGAAAGTGATAACGATCAAGAAATCAAAGTGGTTTTAAACCAATAATTTGTAAATTTGATACAAAGCAAAGAGATTTCTGCTGGCAAAAAGAGCGGGAAATGAAATTGATGCGAGTTCTGTCAACAGATTATTAAAGGAGGAATCAAAATCTCATTAAAAGATGATAAACTACGCGAGATCAGAGGGTTGCCGATTTAACATCGCGATCGCCTAACGATATTACTCGTAGACTTATACTTCGTGGATAAAATCCAAACTTCACGTCAATAACTCGAACGTTGATCTTCAAATAAACCAAAATGGTTATAATTCTAATCAAGTGCATACAACCATAGCGCCAAATCATTATGGCCCAAATCGAGCAAAATTTATCGATGATCCGATAAAATTATCGTTAATGCTGACCAAATGTCGGCCATTATTCATTCATCATTTTTAATTGTTGTCATGATATTTGTAGAAAACCTCAGAGGTTTCTCATGGCAACCGTAATTTGTCAAAATACAGTTTTATTTCATTATAATTAAAAATAAGACTACATCATCCATTTTACTTTTTTGTTGTTGAAAAAATGCTTTGAGTTGTTCGTTTTCAAAAATGAACATCTCTGATAATTTGAAATGCTTAAAGTAATAAATAAACCAAGCACTAACAATCCGAAGCGCAAAACGAAATCCAAAACAACTTATTGGCAAAAAATTGCTTGCAGCTAATGAACTTTTCACATGAGGAAGTATATCAATCATAAGTGAGTAAGTATTTCATGATGAAATGTGCTATCAGGTGTCTAGAAAAGTAACAAATATGACTGGAAAAAATATAAATATTAAGGGCCTGACTCAAAATGATAAGCTTGTCGTTTTAAACTTAAAAGTTGTGATTATTTTAGATTATACAGGACTCAATCTTCAAGTCTAGAAATAAGGTGTTGCTCAGAAATGAAAAGTCCATGTTGAGTTTGTTTAACTGATCCTTGGAGAGATTTTATAATAACTAAACATCGTTTAA